CCGCATCACGCCAGAAGGAAGGCGGTCGTGCGCTGCACTATAACTGAGAGTACACTACGGATTTTCAGCCGCATGGTCAATTAATTGAATCGCGAAACACGACTCTGACGTTGACAGTGACGATAAAGCGTTTTCGACAAAGGCTTCAAATAGAACGTGACAACGGATCCAATCAGGTTTTCCACCAGTGTGGTACGCGGATACGTTCCGGAAAACACCCAGAGACGCGACGAGGTCCTCTGTGCTTCCAGGGGTCGCGCTCGACAATAATCCATGCACGGGGATTTTTCCTCTTCCTTCTTCTCCGCAATAACATGAATTGGTCACAATTGGCGCTTGATGAAGGAAATCTAGGGGCGAAGGAATGGCGGAAACTAAAGCTAGAGGGGCAGAAGCAAACAGGAGCAACAGCTTCCCACTCCCTCTTTCCGCTCGCTCACCGCAGCGCCCCAATACTGCCCGTCATACCCTCTCCAACCCGCTCGCGAAACAGCCCCCGTGCACATGACTCAGTATTTAAATTCCCCTGCACGCGAGCCTGCCGCCGGCGGGGCGGGACTGGGGCAGGGGCGGCGCGGGCAGGGGCGGGGCGCGAGTCCCGCGGCCACACCAGGAGGGTACTCGTGGAAAAGTACCGAGCGTCTGAGGAGACGCGCCCGCCGCCAGATAGCAGGGGGAAGGAGAGGGGAGGGGGAAAGGGGGGCAGGATGTGGGGTGGGGCCAGGGTGGGGCGACCTGGACAAGGAAACCCGGCGGAGCGCCCGACTAGGGTAATGGGAGAGACAGAGAGGGACCGGTCCGAGTCGTGGGGAGATTCCACTGGGCCATGTGCGCTCCAGGCTCCAGGCTCCAGGAGGCCTCTGGTCCAGGCGCGGTCCAGGCGGGAGGCGCGCGCGGCCAGCGCCACGGCGCACTCACAGGGGAAGTCCGCAACTCGCTTTCTCCAGTGCGCTGCGCTGCGGTCCCCGCTTTGGCACCGACATGACCTTTCCGGTCGTCCTTCCATTCAGCAGACCGCTGCCCCCCCCCCATCACTCCGCTTAGCTTATCTGCAGTTTATTCAATGCCAAGGTCGCGTGACCGCATTGTATTGTGTGTGTCTGTCTCTCGCTCTTTCTACTTCATTCGCTCTGTCGTCGATATGACGTGCTGTAAGCTGACCAACACGAAAGAAGGAGGAAGGTATGGAGGAGAGTGATAGAGGCGGGGTGCTAGTTGTTGTACGGCCCGGGATCATCCTGCCCTTCCGGTCATTGTGAGATAGGGTTCGATCGTGGAGGGGGGAAAAGGAGGGGGGGGGCAGACTTCGTCGAATGAGCAACCGTCGGAATGGCCCCATCACCTGAATGTGGATGAACCCAGTCACCCAGTCATCAGTTCTGGAAACTTCAAATTCCATCTCCAGGATTCACAAGATGCTATATCGCATGTCGGGTTTTCACAAAGGGCGCGCCATTGGGACCCCCCAACGCTTCTCCCCCCGCGCCCCAATAACCTCTCATAAGTCACATCCAGTCTGCCGCCGCTCTGGTAGGAAAAAACCTAACGGAGCGGCGCACTGCGGTGAGTGGCCCATACACAGCGGTCCACAGACCCTGCAATTCGTTACACGAAGTACCGAGGTCGGCAAAGAGAGTAGGTAAACGGCGCAGCAGGGTTGTTCCTGCAGCCAGAAGCCTGAGCGCGTCTGAAGCGTTTATGAAAACGAAATGTTACATGATTTACAATAACTTCCAACGCAATTCCGGGCTGCGAATTAAAGTATGCAACAAGTTACAGGATAAAGTGAACTAAAAAGTTCGACCGTTAAAATTTTCCAGTTCTACAACTTAAACTGTAATTATTTAAAAGATCGAAATAAGATTTCAAGTTTACATTGTGAAACTTTAATTTTACGGTTAAAATTATTATTTTCTTGCAATATTCTTTTGACTGAGGGGGTGTTTGGACAGGGTATACCATTTTCCAAGCCTCGAGCTTTCTTTTAGTTATATACTGTTATGTACCGCAAGCCATGCAGGCGCAGTGGAAGGATTTGCCATGACCCCGAGCGGGTAAGCAACCCATCAGCACGCCTGCATGCGGTACAGTATAACCAACAAAAAGTACGGGGCACCGCATACCTTTTTACTAAGTTGTTGTTGTTGAAAACGTAAACGACCGGTACATTCCTTTTATAGCTGAAATGCGATGAAAATTTCATAAGACATAATTTCTAGACTTGGGAATGAGCATGGGGAGCATTGGGAATCTTAGACCAGTAGGACTGCAAAGTGTGACGTAAAGTGCGACTTTAAAACAAGAATGCGCGCCCTGAAAACTTGCCGCAGCCAAACTCGCTGACGCAACCCCAAAACTCTAATTTAAAACAAATGGCACCCCCCGACCCGCGCTGCCCGTTGCCGCGCGCCCCGGCGTCCCCCCCGCCCCCAGCGCGAATTTAGGCCTCCGTCCACATTCACGGTGGTCCACACATTGTCGCCTCTGACGGCGGTGACCAGCAGGACGAACGGCCTTGGCCGTGACAACCCAGCCAACTCGGCCAGCATCCCGAGAGGCGGGTGAGAGAGAGGGAGAGGAAAGCGTAGAGCGACAGAGATAGAGAGAGGGACAGGGGGATGGCACGGGGATGATACTAAATGTTCCGCCCGCCCCCGCGCTTGTGAGTGAACACTGGACGTACTCCACCTCACCAAGCAGAAGTTGCGACGACAGGGGCTATCCGAAAATAGCCATACTTTTAAGAGACTTATGCATGTAAATGCAGACGGCCCGCGAGCTGCACCGCAACATCATCGGGGAGGGAAGGGAAGGGGG